TAAATATTTGATAGCGTTGTTGATATAATTTTTATCTTACTGCCGAGACAATTTCGTACCAAACAAAACTTCATATCAAACATTTCATTTTTCATTAGTACTGTTCGATGAGTTTGTAATTTTATAATTTTTCCTATCGGTAAAAGCCTTTTCAGAATAAACATTTATATATCATGAAAATTATGCTAGTACTGTATTTTCCTTATTTAAAGTTTGTTGGTATGTGGCCTAATATTCTTTGTATTTTTCGTCGATTTTGAATTATTCACGAGTCCATTCTTGTCATTGGCATTGGCAGGTGAGAATCTAGTAGTGTTGACTATGTTTACATTATAATTAATTAAAATTTATTACTTTTTCATTAAATAAAAATTTAAAATAAAAATTTTGTTCCTAGTTTACAAGATGACGGATGTAAATTTTATTTCCGGTGTGGCTATTTAAAAAATATATATATATTAATTTTATAGGGACTATTGTCTAGTAGAATACACTGTAACCATTATGATTTGTGGCATCTCTCAATCAAAATTAAGAAAAACCAAGAACAAAAATGTAAAAATTAATATAAAATATGTCTTTCTTCACATGAAAATTTTCAACACAATAAATTGTCCATTCGTAATTTAAGCAAAAATCCTAATATATTGTTAAATCAATGTTAAAATTATTCAAATACACAAGACAAATATTTTTGAATGTAATAGTTAAAAATATATACCTACTATGCTAGTAGAAAAACCGAAAAAAACACAAAAAAATTTTACCCTTAATTAAATATTGTTAGCTCTTACATTAATGAATATAACATCTTGACTTGAACATTTGGCTTACTCTCTTATTATATTCCATTTTATTATGCAGAAAGCACGTGTAAGGTATTTAATGCAATATATTACACACACTTCAGTTAATCATTTAAGTTGAAAGCGATGCTATATGCTATCTTTAATTGCAAAAAACACAAAAGAATGACGGTCTAACAAATTTTCATAAATGTAAACAATAAATTTATGAATCAATAAATATATTTTTTGGCTTAATTTATTACTTATTACAGATTATAATTACAAGATGCAAAATCGATAATACAATCAACATACATCAATAAACATTATTCAATTAAGTATCTAACATTTATCCCCCTTGCTAAAAATTTTAATAATTTGGATTTTAACAAAAAGTGACTATTCAAAAGTTTTGCTATAGCAGTAACTTTTATAAATAACAATCTTTTGTTTTATTTATATTTACGCCAATTCCGTGATTACTTACGAAACATTAATTAATAAAATCTAAAACGGAAAAATATTATAGTCAACGAACATAACAAAATACATCAATCAATTTTCAGGCAAACTCTAATTATAATTAGAAAATAGGAATAAATATTTAATTATGTAAATTACGCATTTATTGTTATTTCTGTTATGTTGGTTTGGAGGGTGGAAATCATCTGTCCTTGGACAATTTCTATTTCGACTATTTGTATTATTATAGCCTAAATAAATAAATAAATAAATAAAATGAACTGTATAATCTCAAGCGATTGATCACACAAATTCTTGGCACAGAATAATAGAAAAAACGAATCGAAATATCACTGCTAATGCCAAGAAATAAATCCAAATCACATTTTCGTTGCTTTATTATTTATTAAATTAGTAGACAGAGAAAATCTGTAATGTAAAAATTTGGATTTATTTATATTTCAATAAGCTACAGTATTAAGTATTCCAAATTTTATTTTTTGGATAGTTGACTTTTTTACTTGTACAGTATTTTTTAAATGTTACTACTTGAATAGCCTTATAATAAGAAAATAAAATAATTTACTGCTTTTTATTAAATTTTACATGAAACATATTTTAAAAGCCTAATTTCAATAATAATAATAATAATAAATAATGCATAACATGAAACTCAATAATATACATTCAGATATCACTGTAGTTAAATAGTAAATGTAATGAAGTCGACAGATGATTCATGATATTTGTTTGGATGAGGTTTGGCAAACGAATCAATACAACTAATTAGGACAAAGCTTTTATTGCATTATCTTTTATTTAAAACTCCATATTGTATAAATATAATTTATTTAGATTGTGAACGACAGTTTTAACTTCTTTAGTCAGTATACAGATTTGACTGAGAATTAACATAGAACTAAACTAAAATATTCATATACGCTTGTAAAAATAGATTATATTAATATTATTTTCTATCAACCATCACAATTAGCACCTATTCGAAAAAATCCGATTAAATGAAATTCATAGAATTGACACAGAATAGCTTTCCATATTACATGGAAAGCAATTGTGTCATTTCTGTGTATTTGATTTACAATCTTCGCAAGCTTCACAGAATATCTATTCCGTGTATTTGAATTCGGTGTCGCGAATGTTTAAGATTATTCGAAGATGTTTAAACGAAGCATTACTTATTTAACAATTTTATTAAATGATAAAGCAGAAAACATAATTTTTATGTTTAAATGTTAAAACTGCCAATTATAAAATTAATATAATCCAAATGTTAATTAAAAATTATAAAAAAATAACTTAAAATCGTTATTGGGCTGCAATTTGAAAAAAATTGTAAAGCTATAAATTCCCATTGTCGTCCGTCCGTCCGTCTTTCCTTAATCTTGAGAAGGGAGTGAAGTAAATGAAAGACAAGACCAGATATAGAAAGCTTAGGAGCAGGATGCTCCGAGTAACTATATGCGAAATTCCAATGCAAACCGGAAGCCACGTTATTTCAATTCAAGACTTTTCCTCTGAAAGCAGTTAATAGACGACCGGCATGACTTTATTGTTAAAGAAAAAGTATGATGTACAGGGGTAAGCCACTACTAATTTGAGGTGGAGAGCATATACTTTAAATTAAATAAATTAAAAATATGATTAAAAATTTCAGCCCGGCATTGTAACCTTGTCACACAATAAATAATTTCTCGTTTTAATCTATGAAATGTTCGAATTTATATGATGAATGTTTTCATTCACGCTACTTTTGATTCACTTTTTGCTCTGTTGACTATAATATATATAACCAGATTGAGTAATTGAATAACCAATTGTTTCTATTATATTAATAAGTACAAGATTATTCATTGTAATTTATACAATCATACTATGACTTCATATTGATCTGTTTAATAATTTATAAATGGATAGAGTGGCCCGAAAGCCAGTTAACAATGTTTTCCGAATATATTTGTAAACATGAATAGTAAACATAAACAACGTATAGAATAGCATGTTTTTCTTTCACAAAATTGATGAAACGAAATAAAGAATACTTAACAGTTAGAAGCATATTTCTTAAAAAATATCCAGCTGTTATTTTTTACAAAGGTTAACCGATTTCTAGCCATCCTTTATATAGATATAATATCTTATAAAGGAGAAAGTTTTTTTACACATTTCGATATGTTTTCAGCAAATGCAATGAAACTTTTCATCCTCTCGCCCAGGAGATTAACGACTCCTTTGGTAAAATTCATTTCAACCCCCTCCCTCAACAGGCCCTCGTTTCTATCCGACCTCAAAATAGTGACATTAGAATAGGAAAATTACAAAGTTATCAGCGAGTACAAAATATGTTTTTTAATTTTTGAGGGTTCCAAATTTAAATATTTGGTCCTTTTTTTGCGAAATTTGATTGGTTAGTCATTTGACATTTCATATTCGGCTGTGAATGGTACGTTAGAGTTAACATTAGAAGAAATTTGGACGTCTCGAATTATATTCTCATATAGGCGAAAGTCAACGACTATTTCCTGTTGAATAATACCAATGGCCAATGAAATTGCACCATTACGTACCATCCAAGTATCGCGATAAATTAGACAATGGTAGGCTATAATAACCAAACAATATGGTTTTTATTTTAATATATGTTACTTTTACCCAAGCAGTTTCGGGCATATCTGCTAGTACGTATATACGGTATAATTATATAAAATCTATCTCAAATACTCTACTTGAAATATTCATAAAATATTTGCCAGCAAGACATTTTAATTACACATTAAGAATTTTGATATTTTATAAAAGAGTTTTTGAATTTAAGTTTTAAAATAGAAGCTTTAATTTTATACTTTCTGAAAAATGTTTAAATAATGTTATTATGTTTAAACAATAAAATATTGAAAAGAGATAATGAATTCACGTGTCTGGCCTATAAACTTGCTTTCAGAACAGAATCTGATATACTTTATAAAACCAGTAAATTCACCAGAAACTTAGGAATTATAAACAAAGTTATAAAATCTATCGACCAAAAACATTCGCTTACACCTATACAAAAGTTTAGCAAGGCTAAATCTTTGTTATGGTAACGACGCTTGGACTTTCAGAAAAGCATGGGCATCAGGAAATCTTTAAAATACCAAAATATACTAAAATGATTTATATCTACTCAACCTATGAAATGATGTAGAGAAAATTCTGAAAGACCGTATCTCGCCTTCGGCGCAAATACTGTACTTGGAAGGATGTTGATAATTATGACTTGGAGATAATTATATAGGCTAGCAGTTTAAAAGTTAAGTTGCGTTATATTTAGTATCGATTCTTTAGATAAAAATCCTGTTGAGAGTAAGAAAAGATAATCTGAAGGTAAAAAATAATGATTAATGCCTATTTCCAGTTATTGCGTTTTTTAGAATGATTGATTATAACCATTCTGGCATCTTATCCTCAAAAGAATAATATTTTAATCTATGAATATTGAATTTGTGAAGTACTTTAATTATCAAGTGATGTGTTAAATTGAATTTATTAAGTTTAATAATTATTTCGATTTTTTTTCATGTTTTAAAATTGAAAATTATTATTTTACACATTAAAAATTGTTATTATTATTAAATTTAATTATATATTATTAAGTGTAATGTGTTAATGTACAGTACATATCTTTTAAAATATTTTATTAATATACAGTTCAAGTTTATAGTTTAAATTTTTAAATATTATTCAAAAATTTACCTCAGCCAAATGAATGTCTTCGTTCCAATTAGAGATTAGACAATAAGGATTATATCGTTTTACGTACGGCCTTGTTTCTACTTCTGTACTGGAAATTAAATTTAATATGAAATTAATTACATTGTTTATCATTAAATTCCGAAGACATATTACAAAATTGATCTTGATTCGCGTGCTAAACAAAAATATATCACGCCAACATTTAAAAAGACATTAAGCGAATTCTTTTGTATAATATTATAAATAGATTCCGTGTTTCTAAATAGTTTTTTATTTTTATTTTTACAAAAGCAGTCTACGAAACATTATTCCATTCTCAATTACCATAGAAACAACCGTTAGGAATTTCGTGAAAAAAAGTTACTCAATTATTTCGCTCCCAAAATTGATAAGATTTAATTGTAACATTATTGATAAGTTTAAAATAATTACAATCAACGTTTACTTGTTACACACGATACAAATATATAATTTTATTATTATTTTAAAGACTTTTTGATTTATTGGCCACTAAAGGCAATTTTTATTTTAAAAATTCTATGATATAACATTAAAATATGGAAATATTATACTTACTGAATTTGTGTTTTTTTATAGTATTTCTATTGCCAACATCTAGAAATTACAAACGTCAATCATTTAGTCCAAAATGTGCCTTGTTTTATGAAAATACAAAATTGTATAGTATATGGCCACACGCAACGACAGAAAGACCTGTGGGATTTTTTGCTACTTACTGACAGCAGAAACTTTTATTAATATTGCCATGCAATATTTCCAGAATAGCTTTTATAGAACTTTTATTAAAGATGTTTTAATTCGAAATGACTAATAACAGTATCGTTTACCCTACAATATACTAAAAAGTCTTTAGACTGAAACCGGTGCAAATATTACTATATAAAGCTGTATTTGTATATAAACAATAATATTTTACTAATTACTGTTTGCACATTACTACTTGCAGAAGTGTTTATAAAGCATTAAGTGGTAGCTCCTCTCATAAACAGCCATAGTGTCACGATCGTGGAAAGTAAAGAATAACAATACCAACTAGTAATACTTTCAGTGAAAATTTATTCGTCGTCATCATTATTTTACGAGTTCTTTTGCAAAGAAATGCTTTAGAATCTTTACCAAAAACTTTAATGGACTGTGTAATGAGTAAAAAACTCGTATTTTTCTAAAAAACTCCTATAACATAAATCTCTAAAAACAACAGGAAGTCATTAAAATTCTGATTGAAATTATGTAGCCAGAATTAAAATCAATTTTTAAAAACCGCATATTTTATTTTAAATTAACAGTTTCGCATCTAAGCCAATTTTTATCGGATTATTTTTTTTAAGTAATTGAAATTGGAAAATCCTGATTTTTCTAAATATATTAAAATAGTTTTTAGGCTGATTCTAACTTCTTATATACGCGATCTCCAGAGTGGAGTTAAAAATGTAATGTTTTTTCTATGAGCAAATTATTTTCCAAAAATTCTCGAAAACAGGAACAGATAGAACTAAAACTCTTTTTGCATTAGAATCCTATTTAATTCTTCTATTAATGTACGGATCGGAATTTTAAAAATCGAATTTATTAATTTTTTATAAATTTTTAAAGTCGTAGAAAATTCGTGAAAAATTAACGAATTCGAATTTCAAAATTCTGAACCGTGCATTAATAGAAGAATTAAATAGGATTCTAATGCGGAAAGAGTTTTATTTCTATCTGTTCCTGTTTTCGAGAATTTTTGAAAAACGTTTCTCTCATAGAAAAAGCATTACATTTTCAACTCCATCTGCAAAAGATAGCGGGCATAACCAAAGAGGTTACAATTAGCCTTAATAGAAACGTAAATGATAATTTTTAATATTATGAAATTAAAATAAGAATAAGGTTCTATCATTTTATTAATATCAATTAATTAAATTAAATATTCGTTTTAAGTAATGCTAATAAAAATTGTTATTATTAAAATTATTATTTATTAATAAAGTTATTGTTATTCTCATCAAAAAAATTAATTTAATACAATGTTTTTAATTAAAAGAATTAATTCTACTCTCATCTCTGAAAGGTTTGTATAATATTTTATTTGCTTAATTTGTTAATGGAAACATTTTTAATTAAAAAAATAATAATAATAAAATGTTTGATGAAAAAATATAATAGCTTCAATTAATTAAATATTTTTAAATTAATCGCTTAATATTCAAAAATATTAATTATGTTTACAAGTTATTAACACTAATAACCCAGATAATATATTATTAATAACAAATTATTCAAGTCTTAAAGTAATAAATATAATTTATAATGAGAAAACATAACTTAAGACCGAAATTTCACAAGTTGAATCTTACGTTTAGTTTTTATTACGTTACTAAAGCTATGAAAAACGACTTGAGAATTACATAATGTTAATGTTAAGAATATTTAGAATCCCATTTNATTTGTTTGTAAGCTTAAAATAGATTTTTATTAACCATATATTATTTAAAATGCTTTCCTAGTGATAAGTAGATTCGGAGACAGGTAAATTCGACTTACGTCGTTTTTCGACTTACGTCGTTTTCCTGGAACCAATTACCGACGTAAGGCGAGGTATACCTGTATTCAGAAAAGGTTTTACCAGAATGTGTCGATTAATATTTCCAATTGATGAAAAGGATTGCTTTATAGATGATTTTATTTAAATTATTAAATATTTGAAAACTGACACACAGATAATTAGAATTACATAATGCTTTTTCTATTTTTAAATTATTATATCTATTCTTTGATGATGACAATTTGAATGTAATTTAGCTACTAAAAAGCAAGAGTGCCCGCAGGATTTTAGAGAGGATAAAACAGAATTTAAACAAAGTAGCAATTTCTTTAACTACCTATAATACGTGATTGCTTCGAAATAGTGCAGCGCATGTTTACGGTTTACAGGAAAACAAGAGGGGCCGTCTCGTGGACTATTACGAAAAATTTATTCTTACAAAACTAATGTTGATTTATAAATTGTTATTTGAAAAAAGCAAAGAAAATAAAAACGATAACATAAATCTCAGGAGCAATTTTTCCTCCTAGCCCCCTTTATGGGCGCCCTCGATTAAACATTTCTTAATTATAAATCTTTAGCAAAAATTAAAATTTGTTATATAATTTCAGTGCTTGTTTTGCCTCTATATTACTTTAGCGAATTTTCTTTAATAGATAAATTGGCAAATTGCAGTGTTTCTATTATTAGAAAAGAAATTCGATCTAGTGTGAATCATTAAACTTATTAACATTTTTCCTGTTAATCTTCAGAACTTTCAAATTGACGATGACAATGCTTACAATAACATATATACCAAACATGATTTCATTATTAATACATAAATAGAGCGGAAACACATCGCCTGGTATCTCGAGGCATATTAATTTTCATTAAGTTTATACTAGAGACTAATATTATTAACAATTAGTTGAATATGATCTCGAAATGTAGCTACGATCAGCGAGATGTGAAATATCAACACAGTTATTAACTACTAAAATATTGTCTATTAATTATTTCGTGAAAAAAAGTTACTCAATTATTTCGCTCCCANCAGTTTATAGGGATTTTTATTTTAAATATTTATTAATAGTGTGTGTATATGTAGGTATGTAGAAGATGCATGTATGTGTAGGCTATATATATTGCATAGCATAGGCCTATATTTTCATATGTATACATACAATGTGTAAAGATTTTATATATATATATAATATACAACCTGTACACATTGTACACCAGTGTTTCCCAACGTGGGGCCCACGCCCCACGTGGGGGCAATTCGAAAATGGACTCGTCCAGAGTTTAAGTTAACCGTATAGCTGCTGTATATGTTAGGGGGCATAATATTAGAAAGACTTAGGTGGGGCATAGCACAAAAAAAGGTTGGGAAACATTGTTCTACACACATATATATGGCAATAGACTAGTTAATTTATACAAGATACACATACATACAATATACTTCGTATGTTGTTTATACATATTAAAATCTATATTATAACTTTGTATATTATATTTTTTTATATTAAATTAAATAAAGATTTTTTGTAATATATTTTTATTTATTATATTATATTAAAGAAAAGAATATTATATTAATGTAAACTTAATATATTAATATTTTACAACAAATTCAATTTCACTTTTAAATTATTAAAAATGTCAAAATGCCTAAAAATATTCTAAATAAAAAATAAGATAAATTTAAATGATCATTTTTAGATTTAATATAAATTTTGATAAACATATAATGAAATTTTATTATTTAATTAACTTAAATATGAATAAATAACACAATATAATTTAAGATGTGAAATTTAAAATAATTTATAATATACAGGCAGTAAAAATGATTTTGTTGTCTCCTCATTCATAAAGTTTAAATTTAACTATTTATATAAACACTAGCAGGTAAGCCCGGCGTTGCTCGGGCAAAAGTAACGATAGCGAAGATTAAGATTATTACGTTATAGTCAACCTTATCAGTTTTCACAGAATGCAAGAATTGGTTCCCCTATTTCCGGACTAATTGGAGAATTTTAGATGGGTCTAAAAATATGTTCGATTTCCCGCAAAAACCTTCATCTGCGTCTTGCCCGTCGCTTTCTCTTAACAATTCCATTGTTACGTAACACTTCCATTGTTGATGGAAGTGTTAAGCTTTAATCCTGTCTCTCTCCCTTTTGGGGAAGAATTTCGAAAAATTCCTTCTTACTATACATTCTCGTGACGTACCCTAACTGTGTACCAAATTTCAACTTTCAACTTCTAACCGTTTGGGCTCTGAGCTTAGTATTATTATGTTGGGTTTAGTGGGTTATACTCGGTTGACACCGGTGGCTGTATACTATGCCGGGCCACAGTCAAGGCATAGCAACCAAAACAAAACTAAAATTAAATAAGTGTGTCAGTGTCTGTATTCAGGAATTTCCTAACAATATGGCATATATTCAATATAGTGGCCTTCTGTAGTGTTATGTATGTATTTCTATTTAATTGTAATGTTCCCAGGCTTTTGTGTAGTGTGTGTGTGTGTGTGTGGTATCACACCTGATAAGCACCCTATCCATCACCCTATCCATCCTCCACAGATGCCTTATTTCCTGGGCGAGTTCTGTGTACTTGCTAATTTTTTCAGTGCATGTGTTTTGTACATTGTGAGTGTTTGGAATGGCTGTCTATAATATATGTGATTTTTTTGTGTTTGTCAATGAGCGTGATGTCTGGTCTGTTGCAGTAGGGGAAACTTGCCTAATTCGTACTTGCGCCTAATTCATACTTCGCTTATATCTTGACTCCCGTAATAGCTATTAGTGTCTCTAGTAGCAAAAGAAGTAAATAACAATCGGTCGCTTATATCTTCACTCCCGTAATAGCTATTAGTGTCTCTAGTAGCAAAAGAAGTAAATAACAATCGGTCATATTACCATCTGACAGACAACACGCTGTTACTCTGCTCCCCACAAAAATATTGAAAAGGAAAGTTTTTTTCAACTTTCTCTGTAATATTTTTGCACATTTCGTACGAAATTTCTTCAAATTGGATCGTATGTAAGTTTTTTAACTATCTGTGATGTATTAGTGCGTATTTTTGTGATTTCATCTGAAGTGATGAAACATGCGTATCTGTTGTCAAATTTTTTGGCGACTAATGTAAAGTTTGTTCGACTCTTGCGCCAATTTCGTACTCGAGGCATGTTCTTAAAACGTACTGGTACGATTTAGGAAAACCTTTTTAAATGAATGTCACAATAAGCTATTACCGATTCGTAAACTTATTTTTTTTCTAAGTTTCTGATTTAAAAAATAACCGCAAAAGTTCAAAACAAATTAAAACTTAATCGTCTTTAATTTTAGAACAACATGTCAAAAAGAAAATATAATTCTTGGAGTAAAGAAAATATGAAAGAACCGATTAAAAAATATAATGACGGGACCTTATAATTTAACGAAGTTTTAGTGTAAATAATGTACCGAAATTGACATTTAGACGACAGTTACAAGAACTAAATACACATCAAAGAATAGACTAGATAAGTCATTTTTCAAATCACTAAAACTGAATTTTAGTGCTGCTTGCGCATCGTGGATGCAAAGCATCCTGGTTCCTTAATAAAGCATATCCTCGAGCCGTTTGTATGGACACAGGAATGCATGGCTTCGAATCTTGCGGATTGTGGCCTCGCAATCGCTTTAAGATCGGGGATGAGGAATATGTTGTTTTTGACGAAGATGCTAATCTAAGTGAATCGGCAGAAGTCTCTCAGAATCTGGCAACTGAAAGGCAGCAAGAGCAAACAGATACTTTAACGTATGTGGCACAATCCAATCAGACTACTGAGCAAGATCAGACTGAAGAAGTTGAGTCCCCACAACTTCCTGAGGTACCGACAACTCACCCTTCGGAAAAACAGCGAGATCAATGTCTAGAAGAGAAAGCGAAGGAATGTTCTTTAGGTATGAAAGTAAACATTTCTAATACAGAGACAGTTCGAGCGACATTTGAAATAATATCTCCACTACGTGGTATTCTTGGAATTGCAAGAAGAAAAACGTATGAAAGAATCTTGGTGCGAAGAAAAGCAAAACTACTAAAATATCACAAAAAGAGAAT